CCCGCCGCTCATGCATGAACCCTGGATCTCACGCCCCCGCCCGCCCGCCTTCCGGCCGTGGGGTCAGGTCGACCACACGGCGCTGGCGCACCCCGGGGGCCTGGCCTGCCTGGACGCGCGGGCAGATATGGTGGTCACCTGCGGATACGGCGTGCGAATGGGGCAGGTGCGAAGCGGCGGCGAGCGGGCGCTGTGGGGTCCCCACGGGGGCACTGTCGCCACGGGGGACCTGCGGGCGGCCGGCGCCCTGGCCGGGGCGGCCGGGATGGAGCAGCCCTCATCGCCCTGCAGGGTGCACTGAAGGCCGGGCACGCGAGGGCCGGCCCGGCGGACCGAACCCCGCGGCTGATACCAACCTCCATCAACCGCCATCAACAAGCGCCCACCGCCGCCGACCGCCACCACCAACCACCAACCAACCGACCGCCCACCCCTTTTACGCGCGCCAGACCGTCCCGGACAACACAGTCCGCGTCTTTGACCTGCGCTACAGCCTGCGGCCGCTCTTCGCGCTCACCGCGCCGGCGCCCGTGGCGGTCGCGTGGCACCCGCAGCTGCCCATGGGGGTCGTCGTCGCCAGCGCGGACGGCAGCTTCTGCGTCGCTGACGTCAGCAACCCGGCGGCCGCGCACAACTACCAGGTGGCTGACCTTGCGTCCGTGGCGCCCGCGCCGCGTTCATTCGTATCGATGCACGCATGGGGCCCTGCCGCGCAGCGGGCTCCCTTCGTGTCCAGCCTTGTGCGTCGCGGCTCCGGGCCGGGGCTTGCTGCCGCCTCATGATGGGAGCGGGCGCCACCGGCCGCCACCCAGACGCAGCTCGCCGCTTGCGGCCTCCGTCCCCGCGGCGTTTTTACCCCCACATGCACAGCTGCCCGCAGCACACCACCCCCTGGATTTGTCCCGGCTCCTCCTCTTCCCAACACCCCCCCCCCACACACACACACACACACACTACACACACACACACAGAGCTTTCGCACGCCCTCTCTCCACAATATCCTCCCACACTCACGAACACATACACACATCAACAAGCACACACACACACACACACACACACACACTTGTATAAACACACCCACACACACACACACACGCGCGCGCGTTCGCGCGCCCCAGATGGACACCGGCGGCGACGCGCTCATCAGCGCCGCCTACGCGCCCTCCGGAGAGCTCCTGGCCTTCGCAGGCAGCGGCGGATATGTGCACCTCTGGTCAGCCA